GAGGAAATAAAGAATAAAGAGATAGCTGATCCCTGATTGCTTGAATGTGGGGCCAGAGGGGTTTAGACCCTGCCCCACAATGGCAGGTTGATGTGCCCTTTTAATGCAGGGACCCAGTGGTGCTGGGCAGAATTGCCCTAGTTGACGAGATCACCTTAGAGATCCGACAGAGGTTTCCTCAGCAGTGCAACGTGTTGTAGATGCCTGTCCCAGCTGCCTTGTGTGGGGTACAGCACTCCCATGGAGGGCAGGCTGGAGTTCCTCCTGCTATTTGGGTCGATTTGCCCTAAGCGGAGGGTAGTGGCCTGGAAGCCAGTAGTGGCATATGATAGGCGAGAGTGGGAGAGAAGAAGAGAAAGAGGGAAAAAGAGGAAAGAGAGGGGAAAAAGCCCCAACACAAACCTGAGCTCGTTTTGAGACTGACTGCAGTGGGAAAGATAGAAGGGCTAGTGAAAAAAGAGAGAAGAAATAGAGTAGTAGGTAAGGAGGTAACTGAGACTTGATCACCTGTCCGTGAGGCTGGAGGAGTTCCAACTCTTCCTCAAGGTAGCGAGGTGGTGTACCCATTTGATGTAGGGTTCCACGGATGCTGTGTGGGATTACTTCAAATGCAAGATTGCACCCATGGCCAGGTGTCAGTTGAGTGCTGGAGTTCACTGGAATACCTGCCTTGTGCTGTACGTAGCACTGCAGCAGGGGTGGGGGCTGGGGTGTTCCCACAGCCCCATCTAGGGCCCCAAGAAAGGCAGGGCCTCCCCAGCTATGTATAGAATCTCTCCCAATTTTCTGGTCTGACAGCAGGAGCTCCGGACAGGTGAGTCCTATCGGGTCGTCATTTTTTCCCAAACTCCAATATTACATTTTTCATTTAGTCAAATTCTCAAAATTTCTACTGCTTCTAGGTCCTTCTTGAACTACTTGGAAGAAAAGAGGGGGGACTGCTCTTCCTGTCTGTCACCTTAGAAAGATACATCACTGTTGACTGCACATAGCCCCTTGCTTTCTACCTATCATATGTGTTTTCATTTGAAAATGTCTGTCTTCTCTTTTATCCTGAACACCTCACTCTCATCGTTGTCTAGCAGAGCTTAGCTGCTGCAGAGGATAAAACGACCATGAACTCGGCCGTCTTGGACAGTGCTGTACACAACACAATGGTGGTTTAAATACATACAGGGATCATCTAGTTCAAATAGGAAAGAGTCGACATTCTCTCTCAATGGAGCACAGCTCCGTTTCCCCAAAAGGACATGATTAACTATTTTTAAGTAGGATGTTATGACATAATGCCGCAGAGGGTTAAGCACCGGGTGCCAGCGAGAGGTCAGCAGTTTAAACCCAACAGCTACCCCGTGGGATAAACGTGTGCCGGTCTGCTTCTGAAAAAATGGACCGCCTTAAAAGCCCTATGGGGCAGTCCTGCCTGACCTCCTCTGACGCTACAGGACACTGTGAGTCACCAGTGACTCCTGTCTTTTGTGTGAGTTTTTTGGAAGTGTCCCTAGATGAGAGCTTTCTTCTTGACATGTGCACACAGGAGAACAGTAGAAATGAGCCCTGTGCTATTGGGCCTTGCCACTGCCTTTCTCAGAAATCCCACTTTGTTATCCTTTTCGAAAGGCTAGCCTAGTCATCCTGGTGAGTCTTTATCCCCAAAGGGTGTTTTCTGTTTCTTTCTATGAAAATCTAGAGAGCCCAATGCCTTGGCAGTGACATGGGCGCCTGGCCAGTCTCTCTCAAGGGTCCCCAGCATCCTTCTCTCTCACAGACCCCCATACCCACCCCACCCCGACCCCACCTCCCGCTGCTGGGGGCACACACACTCCTGGAATGGGGCAGGGCCTGTGACATTTCCGTGACCCTCCCTAGCAAAGAGTTTTTCACAGGCATCATAGACCTGATATTCCCTGGACAAGTTTAGGTATCCCCCTGAAGGGATTAAAAAGCTTCTTCGTATCTGCTCTTCTGACCCCAGCTCTGTACCCCCGCCCTTTGACTTCAGGCCTCCCTTAGGTGGCTGCTTCCAAAATCCCTGAGGATTTCCCTCACAATCTCTTGCAAGACTCTTCCTGTTCTGCTTTATGATCAAAACCTGTAAAGCAAAAGTGGGATGAGATGGCCATGGGTCCCTGTGCTACCTCCCCATGGCTCATAGATGTATTTTTACAGAGGTCCTTCTGGAGGTAGGATGTGGTTAGAATTTGAGCAATCTAGCATTAACCTTCCATTTTCCATATTTTCTTTCCTTTCTTTTTGTATGGAGTCCTCACAAAGGTTTCTATGACTCAAATGGCTGGCTCCGTATGGTAGGGTTCCTGTCTTTTTATGAGTCTTTGTATTTCCTGCTGGGTTTGGGAGTGAAAGGAAACAAATAACAAAAAAAAAATTGTCCATTCCAGTAAGTGATTACTTTGGTATAAAAAAGGAAACAAGGGACTTGCTTGGGGTGCTGCGCTGAATGGCAATGCCCAACATTTAGGCAGTGGTGACTGTCAATAAAACACGCGTTCAGAGCTCTTGTACAAGGTGGGTTATATCATTGTGCCCATTCCCTGGAGGAGGAAACTGAGACTACTGAAGCAAATCAACGTAGCTAAGGAATGATGAAGTCATTTTGACCTAGGCACCAGGCCAAACACTTCTTCCATCAGAGAAGCCAAGCCAATGAACGAGAAAGGCACACAGCATTCCTCGGTTTACAGGTACAGGCTGACTTTGAACCAGGAGCCTTAGCCAAAGGTAGCCTGACTTTCTTCCAGAGTAGGACAGAATGTCCATTTCTTCTTTGCTTTCTTTTTCCCTGTGGCCCCCATCGTCCCCTCTCCCTTCCTTTCCTTCTTCCTCGTCTTCTCTCTCTCTTCTTCCTTAAGCTCTTAGGTGGGGGCTGACAAAGTATCTGTTGCCTGAGAAAACACTTGGTTTTAATTTTCAAACTCACACAGAAGCCTACGAGGTACAGTCTCTCTGATTTCTAAAAGAATGTAGTTTTCTGTTCGTTCTAAGGGGACGTGTGAGTGAGTAAGAAAAATAAGCCACGTCTGCCCTGAACAGGCTCACCTTAGACTAGAGAACGGGGGACAGGTCAGACACGGTAAAGGCCTGCGCCTTCTCTTGTCGTTGCCACAGGTACCATTTCTGTCAACACGCTGCGCACGCCCTACACGGCTCCCGGCGAGAGTGAGATTCTGGACCTGGATGACGAGCTGTACTTGGGGGGGCTCCCAGAAAACAAGGCCGGCCTCGTCTTCCCCACCGAGGTGTGGACTGCGCTGCTCAACTACGGCTATGTGGGCTGCATCCGGGATCTGTTCATCGACGGCCAGAGCAAAGACATCCGGCAGATGGCTGAGATTCAAAGCACTGCTGGAGTGAAGCCCTCCTGCTCCCGGGAAAGCGCCAAGCCGTGCCTGAGCAATCCGTGCAAGAACAACGGCCTGTGCAGGGATGGGTGGAACAGATATGTCTGCGATTGTTCCGGAACAGGCTACCTTGGCAGATCCTGCGAGCGAGGTAGGATTCCAAAACCCGAGCCGCTGAGTCTCTGGAGCTGAGACTCCAGACTCGAGACTGACCACAGAGCCATGTCGCCCCCTCGGCTGCCAGGAGCTTTGTGCCAGCCGAGCAGCCACTGCTGCCCTGCCATTCGTGAGCCCTGGATGATTCTCATAGGGTCTGAGCTGGCTGCCTGGGTAGAAACGTGGGCCTTTGTGGTATTCTCTAGGGCAGTGCTTGCCAAAGCGGTTGGTCCTCTCTTTGGGGGGCCGGGTGGGGGCAGGCAGTGGGTGGTCCTAGGGGGTGCTTCCAAAGCAGAGTTATTTTGTTTTGTTTTTGAAAAACAGGGCAGTAGGCCAAGGAGGTTTGGGGGACTTTGCTGGAGGATCTGAGCCTAAGAGGCACTGTGGGCAATCAATCCCTGCACTCCCTTTCTCTAGTTTTTAAATTCAGAACACTGACAATTAAGAAGGCAGGAAGCAGATAAAGTCAAGGCTTCTAGAAGACAACCCTGGCGGCACAGTGGTTAAGTGCTGGGCCACCAGCCAGAACTTCATGGGGGAACAAAGTAGCAGTGGCTCCCAGTGAGATTACCAGCTTGAAAAGTCCGGGAGGCTTTGCTTCTCAGCCCACAAGGACACTGTGAGTCAGACCTGACTTGGTGGCAGTGTGCTTGATCTGGCCCAATGTTAAGAAATAGTATTTGAAGTGAGCTGGCCCTGCTGCTACTGGGTGCTAGTTGTTAGCCGCTAACCGCCATTCCGTCAGCTAAGCACTGACTTCGACCCCACCTAAGGCTGCAAGGAATCAGATGCTAAGAGCTGGAATCAACTTGATGGCGATGAGTTTTGTTGTGTGCTTGTGGTGGAAGCCGGAAGCGACAACTTCCCCGACACTATATTGTTTAAGACTTTACATTGGTCTCCTCGTTTCACTTCGGTCAACTCCTCCTGGGGAGACCCTGGTGATATAAACAGGAATGTGCTTAGTTGCTAAAACATGAGACGTTCCAGCCCACGTAGACGCCTTGTGCTCCGCTTTAACAACCAGCCTTTGTGAACCCCGTGGAGCCCAGGTTTGCCGTGCCGCCCACAGGGTCTGCGAATCACAGCCTGCTTGCCAGCAGCTGATGGCTTTCACTTAGCCAGCCACCAGGCATGGCCTTCTGAAAGTGAGCTGACTTTCAACAACCCTGTGCTAAGTGTGCCCTGACTTCAAAGGGACTTGCCTTTGGCTGAGACCGCACTGGTGGCAGGGATTTGTTTACAGATTTGTGCCCGTGGCTTTCTGTGTAGCTGCCCTTCTTTTACTCTTAGATGGTGTAGTGAAGGGTGAGGGCAGCCAAAGCTGATCTTTGGGCCAGGCTGGAGGAAGAAGAAGCAGAACAAATAGTTCTGAATTTGCCCGTCTATCGACCCAAGTGTTTCAGCTAAAGGCCCTCATCACTACACCAATTGTCACTCATTTCCAACAATGGCCCTAAAAATCAATACCAGCAAATACTGATGAGCTGGTCCATTGTTACTCCCAAGCACCAAATAGCATTGCCTCTATTAGATATTTAGCCTAAAAGCCTGGCATCTATTTACTTAAGACACTTGCATTTACTCTTTCTTCTCCTGTGAAATAGTTTAGTTTTAGCTCGCTCTTGCTAGAGGGGAAAAAAAAAAAAAGCAGCTATTCTGCAGAACTCAGACTTGAAATGCGACCCTGACTATCTTAACAAGGAGGTGCCTCTGCTTATTAGTTCTATTCTTAATATTGATTAATACAAAGAATTAATCATCTAATCATGATCTTCAGTGAGCTACTAAAATGTTATGGCTTCCCTGTGCTATAGATAGAACTGCATCAATCAATGCGTATTCATGTTGCTTCAGATTCGTTCATTTTGCTTATGACCACCCCTATTTGCAGTTTGGGGGAATTGTCTGGGAAGTTGTCTGGGACTCCTAGCCACCCCAGGTAAGAAAGTAGGCTTGTCCCACAAGGGTGTCTTGGCTGAAATCTTTACTAAGCAGATCACCACGCCTTTCCATTGTAGTCACTGTTGGTTTTTCCACCAACTTCTCGGTGAGCAGGGTAGTGCCTGACCACGTAGGCCACCAGGATCCTGTGAATTGCTACTCGCGACTAGCTCTGCTAGTCAATTTGGTGTCTGGTTTGGCATCTAGCCTGTCTAAGACCCTCCTTTCATGTCCCCCCCTTAGTTTAGATTCTCTTTGGTTTGTTGGGTAGAATTAAAAAAAGAAAAAGCAGTGGCAACGCTTACTGCAAATATTACAGTTCAGCATAATAGGAGATTAGCTGGTCGTCGTGATTTAAGATTTTATTTGAATTTTAATCACTCAGAGCTGCCAGTATTTCTGCGGCCTCCTGGTTAAGTGAAGCTGGAAAGGGGCTTCACTGAACCGTCACACGAATTTCAAAAGCCTTCAGTTATATATGCCTAGTGTACCACCCTGTGGCAATAGTCTGCTACTACATATGGCAGAAATTAAAAATAGCAGCATCGAGTATTGTGAGCCAGAATGAGGGAAAGGGGCTATTTATACAGTGCAGTAATAGACGGAGGGGTGGCGAGCATATGCAGATTGGCAAATGAGAATTTAATACCAAACTTCCTCAGTGAGATTTGGCGTCCAATCCATCTGACAAGCCCACGGATTTATGTGTCCTCAGGTTGGCTTTTAGGTGGAGAAGAAGACGGTTGTGTTGTTCATGTTGTTCTTGTTTCTGGGCTGCCTCTATGTGCTGTGAGCCATCTGGACTCTTCGGGAGAAGTTTCCTCGCTCGCGTGATGTTCCTCCCGGGAACCAGGGGCAGGAGCCTGCGGCCCTACTCCCAGCGCGGTTCACAGCTGCGCCCAACCTCGGGCAGCCCAACACCCGGCTGTCCTCGGTTTCCAGTTCAGAAGAGAGGGACTTGGCAGTGGTTCTTCTTCAGGGACATGCTGATCACAGAAGGCTAGTAGTCACGGAAGAACTGATCGACAATTCCAAGAGGAAAGAGAAGGGAACCCAGAGTATTGTTCTTAGTTACTTTTTTTGGCAATAATAAATACATTATAAAGTTTTATTTATTCAATTAGAAAATCTGTTCCAATCCTTGGACAGTTGAGCCTGAGAAATGATGGCATCAGGGCATATAGGAAATCTCCAGGTTGCATTAAGTATGTCAAGGGAGTCTAGAGGAAAGAACAGAATTTCTGCTGACAGGCTAAGTAGTCACCCAGTTAATAATACTTTTCTTTATGTATCTTGATCCTTTAAGGAAGAATAATAGAGAAATAATGTTCAATTAAAGATAAATTCAGCACCTTACCTCCTGAACTTTTATTTTCAATGCGAGACAGAGAATTTGCAGAAACGTAGCTCGAACTTATTTGGGGTTGTGAGACTGTGGACATCATCAGAGATCTCTTTGCACTTGTGTGTTCAAACCCTAACAGATGGGGGGACAGATGTCCGAGCAGTATAATCTGGCTCTTTCTCTGATTTCCGTGGTTGGTCACACCATGTGACTGCCTTCAGGCAAAACTGAGCCCAGGTGTACACTTGAGGCTGCACCAAGGACTCATGCACACAGCAGATCTATCCAACTGAATGGCAGGGCAAAGAAGGCATAGAAGACAAAGTGAGACTGTTTTTCCTTCCCCACCGGGAAGGAGCGTACTGTGATTAGCCTTTTAAGGAACTCTTGTGGCCTCCCAATGATAAAATAATTTTGCTAATGCTGAAGGATGCTGTCAAATAACATAACCTTCAGATGTCAGAGAGTTGTTTACAACTTATTTGGCTGCGCCAGACAACACTTTGTACATTTTCCATTTCTCGTTTAATTAAACCTTAACTCTAATTATGAGGACTCGTGTGCTTCCATGAACAAGTTCTTTTCACAGACACAGCATTTAGCATGGCACTGAGAGGCACTCACATTTTGTTGATTCACTCTATTTTCTCATTCCTCCAGCTTTGGGGAGAATGCTGACGTTCAGAGATCTTCCATGGTCTTCGACTTTGAAGTGTATTTTATCCAAATATAGCCTGCTGTCAGTCATCCAGGCTGCCAAATGAATGCTTTACTTCCACATGATGAACACAAGTGTTTAACTCAAATTAAACTACTCTCCACGAAAAATATGAGATGATTTTTTAAATCTGATTATTGACTAACAGATTTTATAGGGCAAAGCAGGGGAAATTAATAATATATTCTTTTACTTGTATGATACCAAATAAAGTGAATAATCAAAAATGGCTTTTAAACTCTATGTATTTGCTGCTTTACATGTATAAAGCATAATTGGCTAAAGTTTGGGGAAAGAAAGAGTAAAGACCAAATTAAGATTATGATTATGTCAGAAACATTTTTTTTCCTGTAGTTCACTATAACTTTATAATCACGCTTAATTATTTCCTGAGCAGCTCCTACTAAGATTTCCTCTCTAAACTTCAGGATAGTATCTTTCTTAGGGAAATGTCTTACCTGGCTGAAATACATACACACATGCACGCGCACGCGCACACACACGCATACACACACAGAGCCATATCCACATGAAGGGGTTACAGCAAAGGAACCAATAACTAGAGCAGGATCTATTCCACTGTGTCCTTCATTTGATAAATATTGATAAGACCATGTTTGAGGTCCTATTTCTGTCCCTGGGATCCTATTGTTACCAGAATCCATGGTGAGTCAGTATTTCCAGAACAAAAGACTTCTAGGGAAATTTGTACATGCTACCCATTGTTTTCCAGCACAAATATAGGAACTAGACTTCGTAACCTTGGCCATTCTTTATTTAGGACCCATGATATACATTTGCTCTTAGTTCCTCTTGCCTGAGATCGTGCTACATGGTGCTGAGGAAGGGGATAAAAGATTTACCTGGATATTTTTACACAGTGGTGATTTAGAATTTGGGGACCTATAGAGATATTTTGGGAAAGTATTTTCTTTGTCATGTTTTTATATTTGGAAAATTAAACCAAAAGTGATATCCAACAACATCATAGAGGGAGGGGATGACATTGTCCTACTTGCCCACATCCCAACCTAAGACTTGCGATGTAAGGCAAGAAGGACTGACAGGAAACATCCTGTCCAGTCTCCAAGGAGAATCAGTGTGGTAGGAGTTGGGGGTGCCAGCCCCACCACTAATCACGCGTTCAGTAAGTACAATTGTATGGTTGTTTATATATATATACTGTATATATGTATGTATATATATACATATATTATAATATAGTTTAGAGAGCATGAAAGATAGAAGAGAGAGGTTGAATAATGGAGTCAGACACAATTCCTAGCAGCAGGCTCACCTCAGCCCTACTTGATGGTCCACGTGGAGAGAGGGGGAAGGGAAGGAGGGCAAGGGAACAAGGGAGGATGGGAGGGGAGAGGAGAAGCCCAGCAAGCGAGACTGCAGGCCTGTCCATCGTCCTTAACAGCAGGGAGCCGGTCGCACTGCAGACTGGCAACTGATTGCCCTCAGGAAGGATGCCGGTAAGCATCTGACCTCCCCCCGCAAATCAGCAGGAAAGATGCTATCCAACTTCCAAGGGTCAGACAATTCTAATCAACAGGGGACTTCAAGTTGTTCCAACAGTGGGAAGATAAACATGTTCTTGGAACATGGCAGGACACATTTTTACACATAAAAACGGGATAATGGAAAACTGATCAATCTGAAATTTCTCAATCAACCTAAAATGAAGCTATATAATAAACCATTACTTTGACATTATACTCAGTTGTTTAAGTATTTTGCTCTTTAACCTATGTTAATGTTATGTCAGTAAAACATCAAAAGAGTGTTCAAAGTGTTTTCACATTTTCAGCAGATGAACATTTTATATTCTTTTTAGACATAAAGCCAGTTTCTTGGTAAGGGAGAATCAGATTTGCTGAACATATTTTATTTATACATTTTAACTAAAGGAGCTAGTTTTATGAAACATGACTAGATTTAAAAATAGCCCCTGGGATTTAACATTAATCATTTCTCATTCATTAACAAATATTTATTGACTGTGTTTTACATGCCAAGCACCCTTCTAAGTTGTTGAGACTCACTATTGAGAGAAAAAAATGATAAAACACCTGCTCTTATAAAACTTCCACCTAATAAGGACAGCAGCAATGACAACTCCAACTGATTTATTCTGGTTGATTCGGTAAGAGAGCTCAGTATATGATATGACGCAGAACTGCTGCGTTTTAGATGGATCATATTTGATATTGCTTTCTTAGTGTGTAGAAACATGTTTGCAATCGGACCCGTTTGATACAGAGGCCCCTCCCCAGTCTATCATCTGTGGCACACTCATGTCCATCAAAAGTTGGTTTTATAATAAATGTGTTATTTAAACACTTTTTAAAAAGCAGATTCCACTTACAATACGTAGAATAAACCATTGATTTCTTTGGTGAACCCTTTTTTAAGTAGCATTCACATGAAAATAGACTCATAGATGTTCAGTATCAAAGGCAATCCTTAGTTCCTGAATATTGACTGTGACTCCTCCCCTGTGGCCCATCACAGCTGACAGAGCAATGAACAGGAGGGACAGACAGGCTTCCATCCTCGGAGCACTTATAGTCTAAGAGGGGACATGGGCGGTATTGTAGGAAAGGAAAGGGTACCTTAAAACAAATGACGCAGCGCATGGGTACAGTGACTGGACTGAGGAAGGGAAACTTCAAGTTGTGCTTCGAGCCAGTAACGTCACCCAGGTGTCCTGTGGGTACAATGATGGACCAGACCCCAGAGAACCCTGAGTAATTTTTTTTATGATTGTTACTCATAAATCATAGTTCTCATGTATCACTGCATGTAATGGCAATGGCAGTAACATAAACCACTAGGAAAATGAAAGTTGCACTTCTAAATTCTAATAAGGCATGTAGATGAGACTATGAGATTCAAAGCCTCATTGTAATTAAGCAATAATGACCAAAAATCAAGTGCATTAGAAGGCTCCAAAAGTCAATTAGCACAGCATTTTAGTTTTGTAGGAATATTCAGATATGTAAACAGAGTTTATGGAATACGTTTTTTGTTGCGAGGTACCATCTAGTTCATCACAATGGACAGGACCATGCTCAGACGGGTCGGGGTGCCCCAGCCCATCCTGGGCAGGCGCTGGCTCCATTCCCCTCCACAAGGGCCTTCCTAGCATGGCGTCCTCAGCCAGGGGCTGCTCCCTCCTGATAGCATGCCCACTGTCCATCAGAGTCAAGTCTCACCATTCCCACTGCTAAGGAACATTCTGGCTCGACTTCCTCAGCCCATATTTTGTCATTCCTCAGGCAGACCATCGTATATCAATATTCTTTGGTAACATCATTACTCACAGGCATCGCTTCTTCCTGGATTTCCCTTACTCCTTGTCCAGCTTTTGCCTGCCTATGAGGAGTATTTTAAAATAGCAACCAATATCTGCAGGAAAACTGCAGGCACGTTTTATAGATGGTCATTTTAACGTCACCCTCTCTGATAATGGCACCCAGTGAGGTCCACCCGACCCTGGAGCTCCCTAGTGACATCACTGTTGGGCACAGAAGTTGAACAACTGAATTGTGAAGGAACTGGGCAAAAGTTGAATCTTTTAAGACAAAAGTGTGATTAAATGAGGGCGAGGCAGGCCGCGTGGGTGTGATGAACTGTGTGGGTGGGGCATATAAAGGCTGAGACCAGAGCTTTATGGGTTTGTATAAAGAGAGCAGACATTGTTTTACGTGCTCTCAGGGACATCGAGTCAATGCTGACCCAAAGGATCCTCCTGTGAGTTTCCAAGACTGTAACAATTTCCAGGAGTAGAAAGCCCAATCTTTCTCCCGAGGAACTGGTGGTGATGGTGGTGGTTTTGAACTGCCAACCATGGGGATCGCAGTCCAACACAGCATGGGTGGGGGTGGGAGTGGGATACGTATTGGGAGGCTTAAACAAGGGCAGGGTGCAATCTGATTAACTTGTTGACAAGTTTAGCCTGGCTGCGCTGCCGACCCGAGGAAAAGGGTGTAGTTGGAAGGCCATGGAGAGAATCATTGTTCTGATCCAGGTGTGAAAGGGAGTAGAATCAGAGGGTTTGTTTTAGAGGTGAAGATAAGAAGTGATCTTGAATTGGACTTGAATGAGAGTCTCCACACATCTAGATTATAATTTGCAGAGAAGACATGAGAGAAATCGGAAGAGTGGGGGGGCCTGAGCCTACACTTATGCCTTCTGACCAGGATGAAGAAGGTGGGATAAGAACTTGCTTTATGTTTACTCATTTTGGGTTGATTTTCTGTGTGAATTAGAAGCTTAGTAAGGTGCACACGGTATTCCAGTTGGGACTGTCAAAGAGACCCTGGATAAGGGATGGAGCTTGGCGAGTGGTCGGGGAGGTTAATAAATAAGAGAGTAACCAAACACCTGTAGGTGACTCAGAGTCAAAGGAACAAAGAAGAGCACAAAGGAGGAAAATGCGGGCTGCTCCGCACTTAGTGGCTTAGATATGCCTTGAGTTGCAGAATGACCACAAAAAATGACTAAGGTTTATTAGAAACAATACTGGACGTTCTGAAAGATCAACTTGCAAGACCACCAGTCCAAGCTTGAGCCTTAATAATGAGCACAGTTGTATCAGTAAAGGTCATGGTTGTGCTGTGCCGTGTACCCAGACCAAGGGGGCGAATGCTCTACTTTTTCATTTCAGGAAGTTTTTCTTTTATGAAATCACATTCTGAGTTATCAGAACCAATGAGAAAGCAGCATGACTCCTGTTTTGCCATGTCCAGCCACCATACGGTGTGTCCCACTAAGGGGTAGTTGGTTTGTGATCAACACTTTTTGCTATTCATTCCCTGAGTGTTGAATGCAAAGTTAAGCAACTGCATTATTAAAGAAACCCAAATAGGCTTAATAGCACTCAACCACATAAACTTCATTTCCACCCCAGCCTCATTCAAAAAGTTATGTTGTTATTAGATGTATGATGTTCACCATTGTTGTTACAAATAATGTTGTTACAAACATTACAAATAATGTTTCAAGGTACCCCTGGCCTATAAATGGTCAGTTACAAGAAGTTATCATTTGTGCCGTAGTAAAAATATTATAGCTTAGAAACATTATCTATTGTTTGCCAATACCATGTTTTCTTCTCCTTTTTTTCTTTCCCCTGAACTGCACCTTTGGGAAAGTATTGGGCTGATTCTTGGATTTAAATGCTATTTCCTTCCAGCCCAGAGATTTTGAAAAATCAAGTCATGATAGTAACATCGGTCAGCATCATGGCATTTTAGGATCAAGACCTTGCAGATCTTCAAGTTTTGCCATTCCAACTTAAAATTGAAAGTGAGCCAGACTTGACCATTGTCAAAGTGACTGGCCTATGCACTAGACGTTCCTAAGTCTCCGAGGCTACCAGTGCTTCCGACCAGGCCCAACAATATGGCTGTCCAGAAGAATGTGAGCCCCGTGCTTGCTGACGGAGACGCATGAGCAAGCCCCCGAGACAAATGCCGCGAGTGCTGGGGTAGGGACCGGAAAAGCTCTGCTATGCGGCCACCAGGTTTCAGCAGCTCCTTTAACGAGGAAATCTTGGGTGACTTTCCAGCTTACAATAATGGGTTTTTTGGTTGAAGAAGAAGAGCTGATTTGTAGTCCTATGTTCTAATTAGGAGGAGCCCTGGTGGTGTGATGGTTACTCGTTGGACTGCCATCCGCGTGGTCAGCAGTTCGAACCACCAGCAGCTCCAGAGGAGAAAGGCTGGGAGTCAGCATTGACTCAATGGCAGTGAGTGTGGTTTGGGTTTGTTCTAACTGGAAGCCGGTACTATACTACCTGTTGGATTTTTTTTTGTCTTAAAGTATGAATTCTCTAAATGACCAAGACCTCCTCCATGTATTTCCTATCTATAGAGGCAACGATTTTGAGCTATGACGGGAGTATGTTTATGAAAATCCAGCTCCCGGTGGTGATGCACACGGAGGCCGAGGACGTGTCCTTGCGGTTCCGATCCCAGCGCGCTTACGGCATCCTCATGGCCACCACGTCCAGAGACTCTGCAGACACGCTCCGCCTGGAGTTGGATGCAGGGCGTGTGAAACTCACGGTCAACCTAGGTAACACCTTCCCTTCCCCCACGGGATAACACTTTGTGTTCTGTTTTGCCTGCGAACATTTATCAAGTAGCCTGTTTGCCACCGGAAGTCAAACCCCTTAATGGTCTTCTTTCCATCATTGGAAGTACGTTAGGTTCTTTTGGCATCTTTTTTTATTGCTTTTATTCCTTTAAACATACATTCCTGTTTTGTGATTCCTACCACTGAGGGTTCTTAAAGGGGAAGCCCTAGCTATTCCCTGCGATGTTAATGAAAATACAAAAGGACCGGGCTCCAGGTGTCTGAAACGGAAATTTCTCTGTTGTTTCCCTGGCTGACATTCTGACTGGTTACAGATTCTATCTTTGCAGAGAAATGAGCAGCTGCATTCTGTTACGCGCCGTATGCAGCAATACCAAAGTTCAACGTCACGATCGAGGGCAACAGTTTGCTCTTAATTTTTTCCTGTGGGCTCTCTCCTTTGAATGGTACCCGACGTGGTGTCACATCTTTTCTGTTTGGAAACACTGTGTGGTGATATTTTGCTCTCCGAAAGGCAATCCACAACCCTTCAATGCCCAAAGTCTGCGGCCCTTCGCAAACAGCCACGAGAACACTGAAAGCGCAGGCTCTTCTACAGAAAGATAATGCTTTCCTGCTTGACTGTAGCAGTGAGAAAGAGCGCACTGCAGTAAAACCTCACGAATTTGGATGGATTGTGTAGGAAAGCTGGGCTGAATTTAAAAAATCTGAATCATAGGCTACAAAAAACGGGTGAAAGAAAAATAGTTTTTAATGTATATTCCCCATTCTATTAAAGAATATGAATTAATAGCTGAAAAAAAATCTCGTCCAGTGACGGTCTGATTAGACTGGCTTTACTAAGTAGCTAAGAATTATCCACAATTAACACACTGCTGTAGTAACGCATCCATGTTATTAGTGTATAGTAAAGTTCATGAAATCAGATTCTTCCTGATGTACTTTCAAATCATATCTCTGTGTTTTATATTTCTCTCCACAGATTGCACCTCAAAGTACAGAATTAATATTCTGCCCCCAAATTTTTATTTTTATCACTAACTTCAAACGAGAGGGGTCCAAATTAATGAGGTTTTACTGTATCTTCTGATAGTGCTAGGGCACAAAAAAATAGATAGATAAATAAAAGGTGAAACTATTTAGGTTTATATATATATATATTTTTTTTTAAGTTGTAAAATGTTATGAGGTAAAGCATTTATGGAAACTCCATGTACATTTTCAAATTATTCTGGGCCGAATGATAGCTCACAAAATATATGTTATGCCACTTATAGAATACTGCATATAATGACATTAAAATAATATTAGTTAAATTAGGTAAAATTCTTATGGGAGTGTTCCGGGTTATTTTTAAGGCTGCATTGCTATTGTTCTGTTAGAGTGCCCTCTCGCGGCAACCATAGGTTACTGCACGTCAATCAAAATGAGTCACCTATTTTCAACCGAGGGGCTGGCTGCAAGCCCGAGCAGAAACAGTCCTGGGGATTTTCCAACAGCAAAGCATTCTGTGGGAAGAGATGTGTAGTGCTGGTCCTTGGCTGTTTGCAACCACTTTTCTGATGCGGTTGACGACACATGACAAACTCAGCTATATGGAAACAGAATCTAGGTTTGTATTTTTCAAGCTCCCCAAAGGCATTAAATACCAAGACAAACACCAACCAATATATGTCTGCAAAATAAACCTACCGCGTCCCCACAGAGTATTTTAAAATGACCATTGTCATCACAAGCTGTGTTATCCAGACTAGACATTCCGTCCGTCTAGCACTTGCTTTTATCTGAAGTTAAGTGTAAAAAAAGGAAATCGATAGTGGTGTCGGCCATGACACTTAGCACACAGAGCTAACATTATGAGCTTTTGAGAGAGGGACAAGAGGGACAGGCTTGTGTACGCTGAAGCATGACAGCGCTCTCTACCCCGCAGGGCTTCTCAAGTAAGCATTCCTTTCCTCCTCCAATTTATGCCGGGCACGGAATGCCGACATCTGACTATTAATTTTTCTGTGCCTGAGAGAGAGAGGGCAAAGGAAAAGGAAAGAAAAAAAAAAAACCACATTAAGATGAGGTGAAAATCATTTTAACTTCTTGTCCATTTCACCACGCGATTCTGTTGGCCTTTGTGGGATATTTAATTTTGGAGGTCCAAGATGTCTGTGCCTAGCTGGGTTTGCACTGTACCCCATTGTGACGGAGCACTTTTTAATTACTTTGAAAGCCATACTATGTTCTTTCACACATGGGGAGCAAGTCGCAGCCAATCTAAGACAAGCATCTTTGACAGTTAGCAACTCTCTATTCCACTTAGATTTGTCACCATGTAGCTTTGTTTGAATTGGCCATTTTTTTTTAAACTTTCTATTTTGCTTCCAACGGTGAACGTTTTGTAACAATAAATCCGGGTTCTAGAAGTCTGTAAAGAATACTGATACGGAGTGGCCATATTTGCATGTGTCTGTCCCCGGAAGGGTGGACTGTGATTTTATTGGATGTCTGCAGCTATTACCTTGAAGGATAAATTTTCATTTTTCATCTATTCTTCCCCATCTAGATTGTATCAGGATTAACTGTAATTCCAGTAAGTGCCTATTCAAAATTTTTAAAATGTTATTCCTCCATTATGATGTCAGCTAGTCAGGAAAAAGAGAGAGAGGGAAACCGAGATTTTCCGACTCATGAACTCACTTTTGAAACATACCAGTCCATCATCTGGATGTAAAAATTCATTTGAAGTCTGTCGAGTGGAAGACTGTCTTCCTGTCTCTAAATGGGAAAAGAAATGGCCTGCATTTTGTAACAGAAGGTACAAATGCATCTATGAGCCATCCAGAGCTGACATTCCACTTATAGTTGGCCAAATCTGGGACTATAGGAGTTTCTTTATGGCCAAAGAGCCAGGAGAAAATACTGTTAGTCTAATTTCCTTCACATTTGGGAGGGGGTGGGTGGGTCTGTTTTTGTTTCCATCTCGAACACAAATATAGAATAAAAGGTATTGAATTCCTCACTCTGAGAGCTACCATGAAATCCTTCTAAATTCCACCAAGGAAAGTCTGTTTCTCCAAGTTTTATGTACAGAAGGTTCTTTGTTCTAAGGCTTTTCCCATGTTGATTAAGAACATTTATATGATGAATTTTTACATCCTAATCACATACCTACAAAAATAACCCAAACCTTTCCAATCTGTGATCTGCATGCTAAATGAGGAGTCGGAAGAAGAAAAAAAAAAATGGTGAATGGACTGAGTTGTATTTGAATTTGAACTGGATCATCTGAAAGGATTAGAGGACTGTGGCTTTATTTTGGGTTGTAGCATTCTCTTAAAAGTATGCTCATGTTATGGCTTTACGTACATGTTGAAGTTTTTCTTTTTCAGGTTGTGCTGAACCACACGCAGGAAGGCCTTCCAATGATCTCAAAATTGTTAGCTATTTAAATAAAATGAGTCGAACAAGTTTCTAACCTTTCTTTGCCAGATTCCGTGCAATTTTATGTTTCAATCCTTGGAGAAATGCTGAGTGTTAATGGAGTTTGCTTCCCAGTCTGCTGGCTGTGTTTCCAAATGTCCGTAAGTCATCCTGTGAGGAACAGGATTTGTGATCTTAAATTGAGAAAACCAAGAAGTTTTTTTCTCATGAAATGCATACTCTAGGATACTGTGCTTCTTAACACTCAGCTTTATCTAAAACTATTATAATATTCATATTTAGAGAATATAAAAACAGATCTGCCCCACCACAGCTTATAGAAAGGTCACTGAATCACAAGTTATGAAAAAAATATTAGCTATTTAAATAAAATGGTGGAACAAGTTTCAAGCTTGATAGATTATAACCAACAGGCCTGATATTAAAAATCGTCTCAAACAGAAGAGTTCCAGAAAATCATCTCTCAGAGGTCGCACCCCAGTGGAAGTTCCCAAGTGTGTATCATTCTCCTCTCATCCCATCTCTCCGCTCGTATGTCATGACCAGGACCACCTGTTGCTCAAGTCGGATACCTGAGATGGGCCCCGGACGCAAGCGCAAGGAAGCCTCTCAAAGACTCTCTTCCAAGCCAGGCAGTCGCCAGCTCCAGGTTTTCTTGCTTCCTCCTGAGTCTTAGCAAAGTCACGTGGGGATCTGGTTCATCCCAGGTCTCTGCCGCACAGACTCAGTTTGCTTGCTGTATGTTCAGCACACGAATTCACACGGCTTTGTAATTGACAAAATGTAACCAACAAACAATGGTGATTGATAGAAATGAAGGGAGACGACTGTGACTTTAAGTTCTCCAGCTGCTTCGACCGCATTTTCCATCTCAGGGGTCCTATATTAGACTCTCTTCTTCCTTTGATCCGTACCAGGAGACTCTGGTACCAAACACGGACTCTTCTTGTTCTCTGGAGGACAAAGGGTTTTGCCGGTTAGTGGAAATCCTCCCCTCCTGAGGATCGCATGTTAACGTTCAATGAGGTGAACTCTGGATGATTCTGAGCTGTCAGTGCACATTTGGACAGGACTGCACGAGCTTTAACTTGCCAGCAGTCCTGGAAACAGCGTCCAATGAGCAGGTAACCGTTTCCTTTCCTTTGACCTTAGTTTAAACTGAGGACCCAGTGGGGAGACCTGTGCAGAAAGGCAGCCTGCCAGTGAGGCGAGTTCGCAGTCAAGTGTAAGGGCAAAGAGGAGTCGATGTGTCCGGGAAAGGTATTCTGAGTCCCAGAAATGGCGTGAGCAGAGATTTCCACCTGTGGGATCTCTCCTGGCAGTTCAATAAATAAATAAATGAAACCCCGCATCCCCGTATAAATTGGAAATTTGATGAGAGACTGATTGAGGAAACGTATGCTCTGTGGGCTATCGGTTTGTCAGGAGCCTGGAAATAAACACACACTCACGAAACCGCAGCTGTCTCTAAACAGGGCACCGTAAGGAAGCTGGCAATTGCATTGCAAGCTTACAATGAAATACCCTGGGCGATTTAAAAAAGGAACAACAAAGACCGCCACCGCAGGAAATACACCAGCTATCAGATAAAAATGCACCTTCCAATGAGGCGTGGGACTGAACTAAGTTACTAGGCTTGAGGGGGAACCTCCCCAGACAAATGTCCCCGGGTTTTCTAAGACCTGCTCGGGTCATGGCCCGCAGTCACATCCAGTTCTGTTTCTCCCAGAGGTTGCCGCAGTTATTATTTGATTCGGAGAAGAAAATATACCTCGTGCTGGGCTCTTTAAATTGGGGTAGCAAAGAATGGGTGGTGAGCGGGGCGGGCTGAGCACCTTCAAACCCGGGAGCCATGTCCTGGGCCAGCAGCAGAGAAGTCGCAAAAGAATCCTGGAACGAGGCAGGGCAGAGCACGCTGTGGAAGCTCCTGGGAGAAAGCGGGTTTCATTTCAGATGAACTCTCACTGATTCCCCACTGTCACCATCTTCCCCCTCTGGTAAGGGAAGCTGTCAAGGTCTTTACATGGAGGAAGAGAGCCAATTTTCCTTTAAAAATCAAAAGCTTGTGTTCATGTGGGCAGCGCACACTGGAAGACAAACAAAACTCTATTCAGAAAGAACCATCTTAGTGTCCAAGCATACTTTGATCTCTCGGATGCAAATGGAATGTCTTTGCACATGAGCCTGTACCAGATTCAGTTCTTTGACATCCATTTGCCTATGTCATTGTCAAGAGATGTCAGGAAACTGCAACTTGAAATTAGAGTAAGGTCATATTCTGCAATATGAAAGGTGTTGCTGGTTTCCCATTTTGCTCTGCCCAGGAAGGAAATGAAGAGTCAACCAGGTGATCCTTGTGTCCCATCCTGTCCTTGGCCATGAGAGAATACCATGGCTCAACGATTGTATGTAAAAGTTGACAGATGTTATGTGAAAGCCACCACCTTTCAGGCAGACAATTTCATCCATGGACAGTGAAGGAGACCTCAATAACGGTATAGCAAAAGAACGGCAAAGACACATTCTTGAAGCATAACGAAAGGATAAATGATCTAAATGAAGGGTGAAAGCCCAAATTATAGGCTATTTAAAAAAAGCAAATCATAATAGAAGTCTATGCTAACAAAAAATAATCATTTCGTAATATGATATCACCAAGAGGGGTCGTTAGACTAGATAGTTTGTGACCAGAATGTGGACTATTTGCATAAAGAGGTGCATGTTTGATAGTCGCTTGTCTGGTCCACAGTTCCAATCAACTAAGCAAATTAAAAATCAAATTAAATAAAGAATAGAAAAGTCAATTTTTACTCCTTGTAAAATTTCCTCAGATATGAAACTAGTTGAGTTTGGACAGGCCCTTGGTTTCGTTGTGCATTTGTTTATTTTTGTCTGCCGAAGTACACAGTCTAATGTTGTGGTGACTCTGGGACCTATCCTGGTGGTATCAATCCAGGCTGCCGGGAAGTCGGACTGTGGAGGGATAGGAATGCTGCATGCCTAGACAGTCCCAATTCTTCTTCTTGCTCTCTTGGAATAACTTTAAAACTGGTTCTGCCATCATGTTTGAAAAACCAAATACATTGCAATTTTAGAAGCTAAATTTGGTAGTATGCGCTATGGATGAGTCCTAATTCGTTTATGGGAGTAGGTCAAAAAGTATTGCTGCTGCCAGTTCAGCTCATACGTGTTCGGTCTTACTCTAGAACAAAGCCCCACATGTTGAAACATGTCTCTGAGATCAGGGGATGGCTGCAGACAAGTTCTCTCAATAATGCGTTTGTCTTCATCACATTCGGGTGTCTTCAAATCAGACCTCTAAGGGGATCTGCCGGGCCGTACACCTACATAGAAAGTTATGACAACCGGTTTGTTTGAAAGTCCACAGGTGTAACCTTGATAAAATCGTCTTTTAAAAGTTTCAAAAAGCACTAAACACTGCATTGGTAGGGAAAGGGTCAGGGATGTTTCACCAATACTTTTCTCCTGTAAGGACAATGCCCCTTGTCATTCTTGGAGGGTAAGGAGGGCTGTCCTATGAGAATTTTGTTGGGAAATCCTCCCTACTCCCCCTACAGCCCTGTTCTCTCCCTTCCAGGGCTCTTTTTCGTCCCCCAGTTTAAGGAACATGCCAGATGGTTGCTTTGAAGTGTAAAGTCAAGAGTGCAGATTCTTTGGGGGAAGGGTAGCTAGATGGCCATCCCACCTCAGAAGTGTGTAGTCCGAGATGAAGGCTATATCCAGGAACAAGAGCTTCACATTTTAATATTGTTTAATAAAGGTTTCTACAATAATATAGCAATACTTTTTGACTTGCTTTATCTAAGCAATTAAGCATGTATTTTTCTTTAATTGTAATTATAACAGTCGCATTATTACAGAATATTGTTCTTGCCTGCTGGAAGGGAAGAGCCCATCTCCACATCCGTATGAAACATGGAGTGTTAATAGATGCATGCTATGAATGTTTGCTTTACTTGCTTGCATTCTTTCGATTTCGATATGCTTCACTCATCCCTCTGTTCTGCTCCTCCTTCTTCCTTTTTACCCAGACTGACTCTTCCTGCTTCCCCATTTCCAATGTCGCTCTCTCCTATTTTCTTGTCTTTTTTCCCCTACAAGAATGAAACTGGTTGTTCAATAAGCGGG